CCCCTGGAGCTGGATCCAGAAGAGATGATGGCTCTGGCTTATAAGGATCCCCAGAAGCTTGCCGCATATTCTGTTTCAGATGCTCTATGTACTTACCATTTGTACATCAAATATGTTCATCCTTTCATTTTTTCGCTCTCCTCAATTATCCCTTTATCGCCTGACGACGTCTTAAGAAAAGGCACGGGTGCACTATGTGAGACGTTGCTGATGGCAGAGGCTTTTCAGGCCCATATCATTATGCCTGACAAGACTTCCTATGGAGGCGGACATATCATGACTCCAGATGGAAAACATTTAATTGATACAGAAACGTATGTTGGTGGCCATGTAGAGGCACTTGAAAGTGGGGTTTTCAGAAGCGACCTTCCTGTCCAATTTAACCTTGATGTGGACGCATTGGGAGAGCTACAAAATGGGCTCCGCGAAACCATTTTGTTTTCCTTATTATCTGAACATGGAGTCACACCACAAGAAATTGAAGACCTTGATTCTATTATTGAAGAGCCCAAAAAAACTATAAATGCCCTTATCAAATGCCCTACTTTTGAAGAAAAGCCGTTGATATATCACTTGGACGTTGCTGCCATGTATCCAAACATCATTTTAACAAATCGGCTCCAACCCCCTGCAATTGTGAGCGAGGAATCGTGTGCTCTATGTGACCATAATCGGCCAGGAAAGCGCTGCCAACGCTCATTGGAGTGGTCATGGCGTGGTGAGCACTTTGTGGCACAAAAAAACGAAATCAAAATGATTCAAAATCAACTCTCTGGAGAGGTTTTTCAAAAAGGTGGCAAAACTTTACGATGGGCCGATCTTTCACCACTCGACCAGGAGACCATTTTTAAGAAGCGATTGTCCTCATATTGCAGGAAAATTTACAACAAAATACATTCCACCAGCATTGAGAAAAGAACGTCTATTGTATGCCAGAAAGAAAATCCATTCTACGTTGACACTGTTAAAAGATTTCGAGATCGTAGATACGAGTATAAAACTCTTCATAAGGAGGCCAAAAAGACTCTGGAAAAGGCATTCACATCCTCGGTAGCCTTGGAAGAGGCAAAAAAGCTTGTTGTATTGTATGATTCTTTACAATTAGCCCATAAGGTTAGCATTGGTTTTCTTTTCTTAGGTCATCCTGAACTCTTTTTATGGATATGTCATGAAAAAAGGCTCTAGATGGTATTCGATGGAAATGGCAGGCGTTGTTTGTGAAACAGGAGGATCAATAATTCGATTGGCAAGGCAGTGGATGGAAAGGCTGGGACGTCCACTTGAGCTGGATACTGATGGTATTTGGTTAATGCTTCCCGCATCGTTCCCGGACAGTATCAAGATACCCCTAATTTGTGGAAGGTCGATCACTCTCTCATATCCTTGTGTCCTTCTAAACAGGCTTGTTCACTCTCTATTTACCAACGACCAATATCATTCTCTTTTATCTCCAACTTCATGTCCGCCAAAGGATCGTCAATATGAAATTAAAAGTGAAAATTCAATTTTTTTCGAGATTGATGGTCCCTATAGGGCCATGATCCTTCCAGCSTCCATGGATGAAGATAGGCTTTTAAAAAAACGATATGCCGTATTTTCTTCTGATGGATCTTTAGCTGAGCTAAAGGGATTTGAGGTCAAGCGAAGAGGAGAGCTTCGTTTGACAAAGCTTTTTCAAAGCGAGCTTTTTAATGCTTACTTGGAGGGGTCTTCACTCCTCCAATGCTATGAACATGTTTCAAAGGTAGCAAGCAAATGGCTGGATTTGCTTGATTCAAAGGCCAAATTGCTATCTGCTCATGAGCTTTTTGAATTGGTTACTGAAAGCAGAACGATGAGCAAGCCCTTGAGCCATTATAGTAATTCTGCTAAATCTCCCTCCTTGACGACGGCAAAAAGGCTGTCAGAATTTCTCGGGAATGGCATTCTTGCTGGAGGCGGAACTTCAGCGTCGCTTACGTGCGCCTATGTCATCGCAAATGGATCTTCGAATTTCTCTGTTGCAGAAAAGGCGATTCCAGTTGCAATATGGTCTGCAGAATCCGAGGTCCGTGAGTTTTATTTGACATCGTGGATAAAATCGATTGGGGGCAATACGTCTTCCTTGTCCTTACATGATGTGCTGGATTGGGCATACTATAAGGAGAGATTTATATCTCTTGTCCTTAAACTGATAGTAATACCTGCTGCTATGCAGGGGATAGCAAATCCGTTTGGAAAGCGGGTCCAAGCACCGTCATGGTTGATGCACTCCGGGAAAAATATTTCATCGGACAACAAGAAAATTCAGCAGTCGCTAAAGAATTCGTGGAAGGCGAACTCAGCAAACCTCTCTATGATTGAAACTGTTCCTTTTTTGGAGGACCCGGCCCTTCTCCTGATACCTGAGATACAAGTTTGCAAGTCTCAAGCACCACGGCATGAACTGCTCCACTCAAGTTACAAAAAATGGCTTCAAGCAATGAGATTCCGTTGGTCATCTATTAATGTTGCAAAGAAAAAAAGAGGCACTAGATGGTCACTTCCATCCTTCCACCAGGGTCCTTGCTCGGTTCTTGGAGTTTCCTTGCTCAAGAGCGAAAGAAAGTTTCGAGTCTGGCTACTTCCATTATACTACAATGGAAAGGGCGGGCCTCTCAGTAGCCTTCAAAGATTTGATATTGAGATTCAAGAAGCATTTTCGGTTTGTGTTGAGGTTGAGCCAGCTGGAATTGCATCTTTCCTTCAGTATTGTAAATTGAAACATTGGTCTGTCCTTTATGAACAAGAAAAGGCTCCATATTCAATATTGCCCGATGGAACGGCACCAGAAGGCGTTTTATTGTGGATCACACAGCCCTCTTTTGGTGCGAACTTGATATTCCATCAAAATGTCCTTGCGATCTACGAAATGGCCGATCCTCATTTTAAGGCACTGCTTGAAATCGGCGCTGTTGTTAAGGGTTCAACATCAATCTGCACCAGGAAAGACGAAATATCCAATTTGTACTTGCCATGTAGCCTTCCAATTTTGTTCGTATTTCATAGCGAGCACAAAAACTCGAACTTTTTGCTGATCATTTCGGAGACACCGCCTTCACTGAAGGCCATCATTATTAGCTCTGGCATTGAAGCTATTTCAAAGAGTGCAGCCGAAAAAATCGCACTCTCAATGAACATTGAGATCTCTTCATTTACAATCGATACCACCTCTAGTACCAAGCAGTTCGCCAATTCGCTTTTACACCATCTAAATACAATATATAGCGCTACTTCTGCATTGTTGGTGATTCAAAGCAACTCAGATCTTTTAAGTCGGTCCATCAACCAAGAAGAACGTCCAATATTATGGAGAAAATTGGCAAGCTCCGGGCCCTCCGATATATCTCAGGCTTTGGCTCTTTCTCAATACTATTTGAAGGAATCTTTCCATTCATTTCTTTCTGTTCAACCTTGGATAAAGGATGAGCTTGATATCTGTCGTACGCTTAATATCCCGCTTTGTCGGCAAAACTGGCCTCATGATGAATGGGCAAATTTGGATATTGCTTACGTGAGATCCCTAAGGGCATCCGGTCGTGTTTTCTCGATGAAATGTGATCAAGAGCGGTCTAATCTAAATTTGGGGGAATATCTTTCCATCCAAAGTGCATTGTTGGAAACCAAAAATTGTTCTCTAAATACGAAGCCTCTTCTGGGGGTTTCTTTTAACAAGCATCAAGAAAGACCTTTTCCCGATCAAAGTTGTGCGAATACTTTTCTCAACCAACCCGGGTTTTATGAGAATGTTTGCTTTAAACTCGAACTAAATTCGATTTTCATTTGCGCAGTTTTAGAAGCCTCTGTGCTTATCCCATCTGATAATGTAGATACGAACGCAAGCACAGAAGATGATGCAGAGCTTTGCATCAAAAAAGATGCACAAAAGTACCTTAATGGCGTCGAGGATAGTTCATCTCCGGTCCTAAGAAGAATGAATCGAATAATCAGAGAAACATTGAAATCCGAATCTTTCGTAACATCTTTGGGTGCTTTTCCTATCCATACCATGCAGGGGAAGCAGTCAATTTTGCCTCTTATCAATCTCGTCAGCAGTCTATTGAAGAAGCAAGCACAGGGTATGTCAGGGCCTATTGTTGTACTAGGCTTTTTTGACAATTGGATTTGCAACTCGTCAGGGCCTGCGTCTAATCTGCTGGGAAGCATTTATCAATTGAGGCATAAACTTTTTCTATTGCTAATATCAGAGTTTAATCGATTAGGCTTAACCGTCGTGACGCTGGGAAATCAGCCTTCAGAAAAATCGGTGTCCACGGCGTTGCTGATTGCCACCAACAAATCTGACGAGTCAAGTGCGCTTTACCACTTGAATTGGGCAATTGGCGAAATTGCTAAAACGCCCGGTCTATGTTGGATAGACTTGAACCTTGTGACGGGCTTGAAGAGATTGTTTTGGATGGATCGCTTTAACTACTTTAGCGAGCTGTTGACATCGGATTCTGGCGTTTCGGCTGACTGGATTTGGAGCTACGCTGCCAAATTGCTCCCGCAAGACGCTGCTGCCTGGGCTTCGAAGGCAATTCATCTGGTATTTGAAGGTCTCTCGTCCATCTTTCCTACCTCTGAAGACGAACCTCAATTTAGCGAAAAGATCGTGATGGATCTTTTTGGTCTTGTTCAAGAATTTGCCACCGCCTACGATGATAAAGAAAACAATTCCCCGCATGTGTCGATCGTTTTTGCTCGTCTTATTTCTATGCTACTTTCAACGGACTCGAGGATTTCAATGGTTGATGTAAATTCTATCAGCAGATCTTTACTTGCCTTGGCCTCGGGGACCAATGTAATTAATTCCTCATTGAAGACTCTCCATTTGTTCGATCAGAACAACGAACTACTTTGCCTTGAAAGCGAGGAGATATTTGTCTCTGTGAAATGCCAAAACTGCACATCAACATGTACGATTGATTTGGCTGCTGATAAGCCTGTTTGTCCGTACTGTCATTTTGGTATTTCTGAAAGCCAGGCCACTCAGGCTGCATACGGCCATTTGCAAATATTGCTCTGGGATGTGTGTTCAGCCTCCGACGTTGCCTCGTTTGAATGCTATTCTTGCGGTACCACTTCAAATCGTTCTGTTTCTAAATGGTGTCCAAAGTGCACCAAAGCATATTCCTCTGTTCACAGCATCCGTTGGAAAACCTGCACAAAAGAGCTGGAAAGAGTTACACGCATTTTTGGTAAAAAGATCGCCAGTTTTGTATGATCCCCCAACTTTGATGGTATTCTTAACGGCCAATAAAAACACCATGTAACGCGTTTATTACTTGAGCTAAAATATCCTTGCATAGTCGTATTGGTGAACAAGCGGCTGCGGTCTTCCCGGATGCGGAACCGATAAGGCGCATTGGAATGAACGCTTGGGTTTATCAACAAGCAGGGAATACTCCTCAGCCATCGAAGCATATGAAATATCGTGGTACTTTGATAGTTGGAACCGCTTTACCGGGGTGCCTGAATGTTTTTTGAAATGTTGTGTAGAAAAAATAGAAATAAACGCCGAAACGCTAGCATTAATATGGCTGGATCTGACCATGTCCAACTCCCACAGTGAAGAGTTTATTGCAGTGCTCATCAAAGGATCTGATTCGGTCTCGACAAACTCATAAGGAATTTGCTTGGAATCAGGCCTGTGTATGAGCGGGATCAATCCCGAATGTGCTTGTATCAATTCATAAATAAAAGGAATGAGCCACATTGCTGTGGGTGCGGGAGCCACCAGCAACAACTGCGAGGCCCTTTTGGCAAAGGCAGCAGGCAGCGTAGCAGATGAAAGAGATACAGATGCCGTTTTGATTAAGGAAATCTCGAGCAACGTAAATAGCGTGGCTTTAGGTGTTGGTAGCGAGCAAAAAATTCCTTCCTCGACATCGCTTATCTCGCCAAACAAGGATAACCTTTTGTCAAGCTTGCGAAAAATGCGGGGCTCTCCCAGCCATCGCATTGCCATAAAAATCAACGAATAAAAATTGGGAACATCCAGTCGAAATTTAGTAACAAGAACTAAAAGCGAGTCGAGAGCCAAGACAAATAGCACATGCTCGCCCGTTTTTGCCACATTTTCAGTGACATCCTTTAAAAGATCCATAAACTGACCGGGATTGTCTATTTGAGTAAGGGCGTATCTAGGAAGAATACTAAAGCAAAGCAGTGAGATTTCGGACCAGAATAGCGGCAAATGGCATCTCGAGTAAAACAAAATCTTACAAAGAATACCCCAGCAATGAGTGTATGCTTTCCTAAGAGTTGTCGAGCTTGAGTCTTTGCTGGACTTTGACTCCTTAGCAGCGCAAACAAGCAAGATCGATATTATTCTTTTGGCAACTGAAATAAGACAAGGTGCATCTCCTTCAGTTGACGGTTTTTTGAGACAATTCTCAAGGTTCAACAGTTGTGCCAGCAAGATATTGAGGACATTCAATTTAAACTCGTCGTCCACAATGCTATGCTTGTAGATGAATGCATGAATTGTTTCATCAGATCTGGAGGTTGAGGAGGAAATAACCGAACTAACGAGAAAGCTTAGCTCTTTGAAAGGAAAAGTGGCATTGATGCTGGATGTTTTGGGATACTTGGGTGTTTTGGGAAATTTTGTCTCAATATATTTGCTAATTAATGACCGATACTTTTCAAAAGATGCATGTCCCTTTTGGGGGGTTTTTTTGGCGGCAGAAGAATCTACATGTCCAGAATTGGTTGTGGCAGCAGAAACAACTGGAAATTTTACGCTGCTGGGCATAAATAAAAATTCAATTAAAATTTGGAATACAATTTATTTGATTAAAAAAATTACGACCTGGAACAGGAATACCTTCCACACATGGACTTTAAAAATTTTTGAACAGAAGATATTCTTGGCTCAAATTCTTCCAGTGGCTCTTCGATTTCGCCATCCTCGTATATAAAGTTTTTTGGGTTTTCCGCGACACCGGAGGACGCATTGTTAATAATGACCGGGGGAATGAACACGCTATCCGACCTTCCTGTGATTTCACCCCGATCACAAAGTACCACCGCTTCCGTTAACTGCACGGAGGATCTTTTTCTGGAATCCTTCTCATCGTCATTGACATGTATTCCGCTTGACATTTCCTTTTCAACTTCAAACGGCGTTAGGATCTGTCTCATCGAGGTTGCATGTTCATCCTCCGGAGGAACATGCTCGTTTTCAATGTCGCTTCGTTTTGCAACATCAAAGGACGAAATTGCTAAAAAGGGTTTATGTTTGTAGCTTACCTTGCCGAATTCCCTCTGCGCCAAGTGCAAGAGTACCACACGGAAGCTTTTCAGATCTCATCAGAGCCTTTAATTCAATGATAGACTCCCGCTCAGTTCTATCGATAAATGTCACACAAACAAAGGAGGTACCTCAACAAATTATAAGTCCTAATCAGCTTCGAAACGGCCCTTATCTTATGAACCAAAGGACTTGATTTTAGTTCCGAATTGTCTATGAAATCAGCACATTTTGCAAAGTAATTACCAATCTGGTCCTGGTCAGAGGTAAAGGTACCATCATCAAATGTGGGGTTAGCGGTGTCGGAATATATTTCAGCAAGCGTATCCGAATCTGCAACGCTCGTCAAAATTGCTAAAAAGAGATCTGAGATCTTCTGTGCAACAAATGGCATGGACCACGAGAATGCATCCATAAGATTTGGCAGGTGATACGGGTGAGGGCTATGTGAAAACTGCCGGATGTCCATTGTAACACCATCATAATACATGATCGCAGCTATGAAATGAAAACAAACACGCTACTACCTTTGTTGTTATACACATCAACATAATTTGGAGCTGAAAATAGCGTAATTACGGCGGGAAACATGGTGGTCGGATTTGTCTTGTACATTCGAAATCCTGCAGACTGTGCTTCATGGGCTCTTATTATACACAGAAGATTGTTTTTGTTCAAAAATTCCATAGCAGCTTTGAAGTGGTAAATGTAAGAGCAACCGCGAACACGATTAGGACTAAACTTTTCGCCTTCTGGCGAGTCAAAATCAAACGTGGCAGAAGGGTCGGACCACATCAAGTCGCAATACAAACCACTTGACGGCGGCTCTTGGAAGCGATCAATCTACACATTGGCAATGCAAAAAATACCTTGTCAATGTCCTTTAAGGTCTTTAATGATGGAGATATCCCACCGTGAACACAAAACAGCTGGTTATTTACAACTGCACATAATGGAAGTGCATTGAAAATTTCAAGTAGCTTTGTATACAGAAGATGTGAATACTTTCTCGTGCATTCGTTCTGAAATGTAAAATACTGAGTCATGTGGGCAGACTCATGATTTCCTCGAAGCATGTAAACCCGATCGGGAAATGTAATTTTCAGAGAAAATAAATAAAAGAGGCACTAGGTGAAATTTGACCAAATTTGACAAACCTCCATGGAAAACAGGCCTCGATCAACATAATCGCCCAAAAACAAGTATTTCTTTTCCGTGGACGAGCAAGCGTCCCCATCTTCTGCGCTGCCAGAGGATGATCCTAGACCTCCTCCGACCTCGTCTGAAAAGATCTTAATCATGTCGTAAAATTGGCCATGGATATCGCCGCATACTAGAAATAAGGGGAAAAGAAGCCAATACTATTAATTGGCGCTGGTAGTTTCAATAAATTGGGTTCTGCCTTGAATATCGATAAAACACATTCACAAAGGTAGAAGGCTTGAAAATCTGACAACAACCCCTCCCTCAACAAATGCGACTTGATATTTTCCAGGTTTGGTCGCTTGATCTTTGAGTTCCGAATATGTGACAGTGATATGTTGTGAAAAAACTCGTCATCCGTCAGTGGTCTCAATGCGAGGATGGGGATATCTAGTTGTTATAAGCAAGATGTCCGTACTTGAGCAGATACGATCGTCAAACAAAAGCTCTTCGGCGTATTTTGACGATATAATGGTGCTGGACATGGGACGTTAATGGAAAAGCCAGATACTTATTAGAATTGGACACTCATTCGTCTCAATGTAGTCCAATCAACAAATTAAACTAAATTAATTTCAATTACAATTTGAATTAAAATTTGCCAAAATTTTTAATCTCTATGGTAAGTGTGTTCACCGATTTCCACCTCTATATCTATAAATTACATCCATCATAAGTCTTTTTATTCCATTGCGTAGTGGTTGAATTTTTTTTTTCTAACCATGTTTAGGGCAAGACAAAGGCAGAAGCCACTAAACCTTCCAATTCTGGAGGAAAGGCCAAAAAGAAGAAGTGGTCCAAAGTCAAAATCAAGGATAAGGCCAACAATGCAGTTACCCTTGATAAGGCTACATATGACAAGATCTATAAGGAGACCCCCACTTACAAACTCATAACTACAGCCATATTAGTCGATCGCATGAAGATCTCTGCTTCTCTAGCCCGTGTCGCCATTAAGGAACTTGAGGCTAAAGGACTTATCAAGAAGGTCCTTTGCCATTCATCTCTTCCAATTTACACACGTGCCACTGCAGCAGTTGAGGAAAGCGTCCCCATAAAAGCCTAATCAGTAAACTAAATTCAATTAATGACTCGATTAATGAATGGCCAGAATTTGCTAGCCGATTACATTTGGCCAAGGCAATTAGTAATGCCGTGTGGTGTGAGTGGCAAAGGCGAAAGATAAGTTGCTCGATTTATTATATATACACATAGAAAACTTATACCCGAAGGATGTGCTTAAGGAATAGAATAAAATGGCTGGCATCAATATATAAATCAAAGATATGTCCAAAAACCACAATCAGAGAAATATAAAACTGGAAGTGGGGGCTCGTCGACGAGCTTCCTTTGAGCTTTATACGAACACCTCCCTGGTTGTTAACCCATTTCTCAAAGATGTTATCCCCCACATCCTTAAAAAGAAGATTTAAAAGAATTGGGGACTTTCTGGTCAGATAGTTCCTTAGGATGTTTTGAATTTTTCCGGGAGTCCCTGTGATTTCCTTCAATGGCTTCACATCTGTAATATTACCGCTATTCCAAGACGGGTGCTGGTTAACTTTTGTTGAATATAAAAACCGTTCAAACTCCTCCATACTAAGGCCAGGAATGGTTGATGAGTTGGATGAGCCATTGCCTAATTCGAAGGTACCATTGACACGTTTACCATTATGTTCAAAAGGTACCTCGATGGTAAATCGAACTCGAGATGGACGATCATTAGGGTTGATGTTAATGGGATCAATTTTGCCATATCCAATTAACTGGTCATCAATATGTTCTTCGCCGCTTTTGACGGAGATTACAAACTTGCTCTCTGGAAAAGAGACAGCAAGATATTCGAGATTGTGCTTGTATAGTAGTTGGATATCCAAAATGATGGAAGATTGCTCTGCATAAACGGTGAATGTGTCTAGAGTAAAAATCCCATATTGGGCGTCATATGAAAGCCTGTTGGCTATAAAAATCAACGAATATGAGGCCGTATCAAACTCCCAATCTCCGGAAGACTCGTTTTCAACTTCTGGCGGCGGGTCCTTGGCAACCAGAATGACATCACCAGCCGAACCATGCTCAATGGTAAAAATTTCCGCAGGAGCATAGAGGGTTTCTTTGGTCAAAATAAAATGAGATATGGAAGATGGAATCCAGGCGCAGCTCAGATCCCATTGGAAAGAGTACCTGACAAGAAACTCGTAGTTTTTAGAAAAATCGATAAACGGAAAGCGGTCCGTTAAATTGACGCCTATATCGCATACTATGTGGTTCTTTTTCCTGCTTCCATAAAAACAAAGGTTATTCAGCGTATGCGAAAGGATAGGATATTCGAGGTCCGTATCGTTCGCTGCAAAAACGTCAACGGTAAACTTTTTGAACAAAATGTCCACAAATGACACGGAAATGGCATGGGCCTCGAAATGCACAGGCATTGATAAAGAATCCAAATACGTAATGTTGAGAAGCTGTGGATGAAACGAAAAGACATATGACTTGTAGGCCAACCCCAACCCCACGACGATCAGGGTAAAATGTAGCAAAAACGCTATGAAAATGAAAATCAAAGCCAGGGAAATATAAACGGCCAGTCTCTTCTCTCTGCTGTTTGGCAGTAGCATTGCAACGATTGATGATGACGTGAACCTTCTTGGATCGTAATCAAATACAAGGCGAGTCCCCTCTTTGGATTGAGCAACCTCAAACGTAGGAAAGGAGCTAGAAATTGCCTCTGAAACATCAGAAACAGTGCCTTTTGAAAAAACTTTTCGACATTTAGCCTTGACATATTGAAAAATAAGTATCGGTGATATAGCCATGGAGGCGATAAGGGAAAACAGTCCCCAGGTGGTTAGAGAAATTTCAATTTTTTTAAAAACCCAAATGCTGGCCAATAAAATATCATGTCAAACTCCAAAATCCCAACTTTAAGCTGCTTTTTTAAAACTGAATTTCATCTGTAACCAATTAAGAAGGAAGTCCATGGGTGCCAAAGTAATACGCGTGGATGGGGATTTTGATCCCAAGATCCTATCAGAGGCTGTTGAATTGCTCAAAAATGACCAGGTGGTTGCCATTCCAACGGAAACCGTATACGGACTTGCTGCAAATGCGCTCAAACCCGCTGCGATAAAGCACATATTCCAGGCAAAAAGCCGGCCATCAGACAATCCTCTCATTGTGCATATATCTTCCCTGTCGATGTTATATCCACTTATTAAAAGGCCGCAAAACTTTGACCTTTTTGAAACGCTAATGTCGGCCTTTTGGCCCGGCCCGTTGACCTTTTTATTTAGTAAGAGTTCTTTGATCCCTGAAGAGGTTACAGGTGGACTTTCTACCGTATGCATTAGATTTCCAGAAAATACCATAGCACGAGCAATCATTGATCAATGCGGGTTTCCTCTTGCCGCGCCGTCTGCCAACATTTCTGGAAGGCCTTCTCCAACGGAAGCATCTCACGTGTTAGAAGACTTAAAGGAAAGGATTCCATTAATCGTGGATGGAGGGCCCTGTTCAAAAGGTGTAGAGTCTACAGTTATCAATTTGCTATCTGATCCTCCGATGATTTTAAGGTCCGGTTCCATTACCTTGGAAATGCTTCGAAAATTTGTCCCCAACGTTCAAATATACCAGCCTGAGAAGGGAAACGAGCTTGATCCCATTTCCAATGCCGCTCTAGCCTCTTTACACACAAAGGGATCCCTTTCGCCCGGAATGAAATATAGACATTATTCCCCGAAAGCTAATCTTTTTCTTTTGGAAAGTACTTGCTTTGATGATGATCAGACGCTCGATTTGATTTCCAAACTCGAACGCTTCTGCGAGGAGAGGAATATCAGGGGATCCATACTTTTGAACACGCCGATCTGTAAAAACATTGACGGCAACTCTGATCCCCATCTGATCATTGATTCTTTTTCAAGCTCCTCTTATCAAACCATTGCAAGGGAATTGTTTGCGAAGCTTCGAAAGTTAGACTCGCTTGATGTCAAGTTTATTTTAATGTTTTCGATTACCAACGACAACGAAGGTTCCGCAGTCATGAACAGAGTGTTAAAAGCCTCACATTCGGTGTTAACTTCCACTGAGCAAGTGACTTGTTCCTTCCAAAAGCTATTTATATAAATTTAAATTTAATTGCAATTTTTTATTGATGTCAAAATTGGATGCTTCCCAGGAACCCCATTATTTTCCACTTGAATCGGAGTTTTTCGAAAGGCCCAGATACATTACAGGCGTGGATTCTGTTCCAACCCTAAACCTATCTTTAAACCAAATCGACAGGCCTAAATCGGAACACCGCACCGAAATTTGCCAATCTTTAACCAAAAAGCTGCTCAAGGCGGTGTCTACCCCACTTGATGCTGCACCTGAGCCAACTTCAATGGATGGCATTCATGCTGAAGATGCGAACATTTTGGATCATACTTGCAGCTTCTCGCTATCCGAATCTGAAAGCAGCGTGGATGAAGAGGAGTAAAGCAGCATGTTGTTTGTAATTTAATTGGGGATTTTTTTAATAAATTCGAATGCTTATTTCATCCTGCTCAAGAAATTGTGTGGCATTGACATTGCCGCATATTAGGAACATAAAATATCACCGACGTTCACATCATTTCAAGGGAGTGTCGTCTTATTCTACAGAGGTGAAGGATCCCTTCCATGGCTCGTATCATTGGTATTTTGAGCGAATCGTTGCGGCTGGCACGATGGTTACACTTGGCTCTATGATTGCTTTACCCTCTGCATCACACGTTGTAGACGCTTCGTTGATGGTTTTATTGCCCGTTCATATATATAATGGATTCTCTGCAGTCATATTGGATTATCTGCCAAAGAGAAAATTTGGCGTTGTTTATACCATATTCAAGGGATCCCTTATTGTTATTACTGGCGTGGCTGTTTTCGGTCTATACAAATTCAACACCGAAAACATCGGTATCTCTGAGGCCGTTAGAAAACTCTGGCATCAAACCGGTATGGAAGAATAGCAGCCTGTCAAAATAGACTTTATTTTAATAAACATCAGTTAAATGAGGCATGTTTTCCCAAACTTGGGGTTAGTCGAGTTTTATTCAAAGAAACCCGAAACTCCAGCAATTAACAAAGCTGAGATGAAGAAAGCAAATTTTGTATGCACTACGCACATATTAGCGATGCGTTGCTGCTTACATTTATAGCATCTAGGGAGCCTATTTTCCTTAAATGAAGCAGCTCTTGGTGATGGTCTGTGGCTGATGAAATGGGAGCACACAATGCCTGCTGTCCAGAGGAAAGCGGAAATAGTTGGCTAATTACTGCATATGTCTTCCCCATGAGCGGAAATAGAGAATTGATCTGGTTGGATGTTTTGCAAAGCAAGGCATCGATCGAAGCTGAAGTAAAAACGAAAACCGCCCACCATTGTTGTTTGAACCTGCTATGGACATCTCCCGACTCGAGATAAGCGACTGCAAATTGCCCAATTCATCGTTGTATTTTGAAAGCAGTTTGAGGTGATATTTTAGTCTCAAGTTGTGGTGGATCGCCCTTTTCCGTTCTTTACGCCGCTGCAGAAGAGCATATGCTACACCTTGAGCCTCGTGCTCGGTAACATCTGCCGATTTCTATGCATTGACAAAATGGTTCGTACCAGCACGCATAGGATTCCCTCTAAATTGCGCGCATATATGGATTGGGGAAATTTGAACACATTTCTAAGCGTATATGCCTCTAGAAGATCCAGGTTTTTGTCCATCGCATATTCGAGTAAGGTAAGTAATTTGATCAATCCCTAAAAATATAAACAAGCAAGTACCTCTTCGATGGCTTGTTGCGGAATGTTAGTGCACTCGGACGAAGCAAGGATCATGGTGATAAACTTATCTGCAATGCTGTATATTATGTCGTATGATGAGACGGAAAAATCATCCATCAGGCTTAAAGGGTAAAACCCAAAGTATTGTGTCTCATCCAAGTACAAATGAAATGGCGTTTTTGCGGCATCTCCAGCCATCGACAAAATTTAAAATATTTTAACAAAGTTATAATTCTAGACAACTGCGATCGGATTCATCGGCGCAAGGCCATTCGTTTCCGGCAGCGAGGATCGCGGGAATGAAGCCATCATGGGATTGTTGCTGGGGCGCATTGGATGAACCTCGGTTTCGGGTCGAGGCTGATCCTGGCGTCTAAGCTCAGCAGCCGTCATCAAAGCAGCCGCGGCCGATGTGGTATGCGTGATACGATCGCTTTCTATGAAGATAATGAGCAATGCACATAGCCCTATCACCATTGCTATTCCAAGCAGTCCTTTGAAACTGTTAGGTATTACAAATATTAGCAGGGAGAGAGAAATTAGCAAGTAACTTGTTATCACCAGGACAAAGAAATTGCGATGGAACTCTTTTGATTTGTTGGCAAAACATGAGAAGCAAGCAAAGTTGGAGCCAGCCGGATTGATGGTCGAAATGTCGATCATCACTCTTTCGGGATTGATGGCGATGTCATCTGAACGAAGCCCGTACGTTTCAAATGGGAATGTCGATAAAAGAGGGTTATATCTATCGTTGACCGGTCGTTGGTATTCAAAAAAAGACATGTCGTCAGTGATGGAGTTTTGGCTGAAAAAGGTTCTCAATTCCACGCTTCGTAGAAAGTCCTCGTCAGAGGCCAAATAGTGTGCCCTATAAAGAATGGCCGACTCAAATGCTTTGTTGTTTGCGTTGCTCTCAGCATCGGTCTGATACGATCCCGAGGTCGCTTTCTCTGTGTTTAAATAAGACTCTAAATCGAGCAAAGAGGCCTTCAGATAAAAAGCATCCTCAACATTACAATGGTCCTTGGCGATATCGACGTCTTCTGGCGAAATTATGAAATACTCGACATCGCCAATGATGTCCATATTGTTGAGGGGATTTTTGGAATGCATTCGATGTAAATATGCCGGTCTATTTGCAGTAGGCTTTTCCGTTTTAAACAGGATCCTGTTCAATTGGGGTCCATAATAGAATGAGTAGTACAATTTGTTTGAATTTGTAGGGTCGCAAGTGGTAACCCTGGCGATGATAAAATGCTTTTTTTGCTGGTATGAAGAACAAATCATGGACTCGAAAGTTTCCAACGTAAAGGACTCTTCATTGTTTGCGTCTACATATCCGACACAAAAGTATTTGGCATTGATATTTTTCCTCGGAGAAATGGATCCCAATTTTGTGGAGTATGATTTGAAATTCTGGTCCAAAGAACTATCCATCGACGAATATAAAAGAATGAATCGTTGGGCGATTTCGGCCGGATAGGGGCAAGAAATTGCACCCGGCGAAGCAACGCCACTTTGGGCTGGCTCTTCTTCAAACAGCGTACGTAAACATGAAGAAATTGGAGAAAGTCCAGCTGCACTTTCGCCAATTGCTTGATACATGGGGAAACCGTGTCGTGACCATGGCCAAATACATGAAATAGTAGGGAGGGTGGTTTCAAATCAACCAATTAAACTCCACAGCAATAGCAAATCATTTTTAATTAAATTCTGTCTTTATACCGATACGAGTGATTGACGCGTCACGCGTCATACGGCAGCATCCTCGATGCCTCCAGGGCCAATGGCATATGTTGCTTCAGCCTAGCAGTATGGACTGGTAGCAATTACCTCTGGCATGTCTGGCGAGTCGTACACTTTTGCAATTCGGGTCTCATTACGACCTTTTCTTAGGGATAATCTGGTGGTGCTAGCATGTGCGAGCACATGGCCGCCGATTGGTTTTTTCGGATCCGGAACAAACGATATTGCTGCGCCAGGATCTGACATCATTTGGTTTGTGATGAACACGGCCACATTATACTCCTCCGATATCCTGGCCAGTCTGGCAAGCATTTGATTCAATCGTTGCTGCCGCTCTCCAAGCTCTCCTCGCCCCGAGAAATCGGTTCGAAATAGACTAATGATCGAGTCAACTACCTGATGTTATCGAACGCTAGATACCAGCAATTTAAAACGACCCGGCTCCTCTGAAAATTTTGCGGCCAATATGGCAAGAAGGTCCATTTGATGCTCGCTATTATATGCTCTTGAATATATGATGTTTTCTAATGCTTCATCTGGATTGAGGTTGAATCTGGCGGCTATTTCTTTAAGCCTTTCCGGACGACTACAAGTAAATGGGGTGTTTAGTACAAGGTTCCCTCTGTATCGATGTATGCCGCCTATGTTACTGGAATGATCAGATACCTTCCCCGATGTATTTTGCTCTCCCAACTGACACGTGATACACATCGTTAAACATAATTGTGTTTTTCCCGTTCTGAATTCGCCAAATGCTTCCGTAATGGACATTGATTGAATACCACCTCTACTTGAGATGATGTAAAGTACCTCCGACAAGCCTATCTAGTTCAGAACTTCCGGTTGACACTTTAAACACACATTGCCTCTTTATAGCTAACTCGGTGGCGGTAATAAACCCGCAATCTAGCAATTTTGCAGCGACTTCCTTGATTTCCTCAACTTTTGCTTCTGACATTCCTTTCAACTTGCACAGATTTTTCCTGGTGGTCATTTGCACCCCCTTTTATGCATTTGATGGCTCAGTTTACCTTAACAGAACAGATGCCGGACATTTTTAGCTTTTGAATATCCATCATGCTTACGCCATGGTGCTGTAGCTCTTCAACCGCCAAATAGGTTCCATCCTAAATGGATGACTCCAAAATAGCACTACCTCCTCCAATGCAATGTTTTGCGTTTCCTCATGTTCAGTACTAAATGAGTAGGCTTCCGATTCAAGTTGCGACTCCATAGATTAATGAATAGGGAACGCAATGCTGATGCATTCTTATATAGCAATAATGCATCGACGCATTAATGCATCACTGCGGCCATTCCATAGACGACCGGGACATTAAAGTAATTAAATTGGCATTTTATTTATGTTGGACGAATATGATTTGGGCTCATTTTTGTTCTTTCCTGATGCCCCACATTCGTTCCTTTTAACTTTTGATTACTTTTGCACGCGAACAACATCGGCATTTAGAGGAATTAAATTAATCCCACCTGGCCTACACATCCTAACACTGAGGTAGTGTCATTAATTTTATGACGTTAGTAAGCCGATTGGACAGGAACCCGAGTGTTCCTCTTCTTTTTGCCAGTCTTTTGTGTTTTGGATAAATAAGGGCTCTCGCGTGTGTATCTCTTTAGAGTTCGAAAAAGCGTCTGAAGAATGGAAAGCAGCATATGAAAGCTCAAAATCGGCAATGCTTATTGAACGTACCATCGATTTTGTAGTTTACATTAGGTATGCCAATGTATGATGCCTATTTGGGAGCATATAGTCAAGAGCCTAAATTTTGCAAGCTTTCCGGTTGCATCACACACTATACGTTGGCTAGGTGTTTGAAAAACCAACTGATTTTAAAAGCCGATTCCAATGTTTCGGTCTATTCAATTCCGGCCATTTGTTGCTCCATCTATTCGATGGAGCTTGAAAAGGGCCTTTCAAATACTTTCGATGCATCACATCGCGATTATATTGCATTTCCGAACCTTTCTCTGCGGCTTTCTGGGTATTTGCCGGGAAAGTCGCGGTCCGAAATCACTGCCATTCATTTGGACACCTTTAAGTTTATCCAACATCTGCTGGACACTGTCTATCTGTCAGGTATGGCATTTGCTTCTTCTTCATGTTAGATAAAAAGGAGATTCTTTCTGAAATAGCGTTCTCCTTCCTCCTTTTTTGCCATTGCTATAATTTTGAAGGATTTGATCACTGGAAAGCCTTTTTATTGCTGTTGTCACGATCAGAGACATTTATAGCGCAAAACGGTTCGTTTGTCGCATGTTTGCTAACCCTTGTTTATGACCAAATCTCCGAATTCTCGACCGAAAGGTTTGACAATCTTTTCTCGGCCATCGACCCTGCCTCCAACTTGCTGATCGTTTGTGCCAAAGTAAGAATTTCGAATTAACATCAGAAATTGCTGCATTTTTCTAAAGCGTCCAAACAGGTTACAAAAAGCTTTGAAAAGCTATTAAGCTGTGATATGATGCTCTCAGAAGAGGATTTTTAGCACCTGTATTTACTCCTCTTACATATTTATTAAATAAATTGAGATATCATGTTCGTTGCTCCCTAAATCATCTGTTTCTTTTCAGCACCAATAGGTTCCTTTGGATCGGTAGGTACTTCGAAAGGAGAGGCTTTCTTTGAATACGCTGGTTTATCTTTAGAAGCATCTTTCGCCTGGCCATACAAGGGTATTGGAAAAACATCTGCAGAAGACGGTTTAACTTGTGTAGAAGGCGGTTTAACCTCTGCAGAAGACGTCTTAACCTCTGCAGAAGGAGTCTTATCATTAGCTTGGGCGCCTGGAGTTGTATTTGTCGCTTTGATATCTACGGCTTTTGTGGATAGTATAATCGGATTTTTGTTCTCTGCGGAATTTTCTTTGGATTGCTTTTTGCTGCACTTTGTGCAATTAGATAGAGATGATGATGCTGCAGAGACCTCACTTGATATGGACTTTTCATCGGTGGAGTTTCTTGTTGTCAAGGAAGCGCTAGTTGAAGATTTTTTAGCGCAAGGAGCTTTTTTAGGGGTAGTAGATTTGCTAGCGGTGGTCGCATTCACTGCTACAGATGTTTCATTTCTCAAGACAGAGGCATTTTGGGATGCTTGCGAAACCAAAGCAGAGCTGCTGTTAGATATCGAGGGCTTTTCAGACATGGATGTTGTATTACTGGTGGGTATTGAAGCATTTGAAGCAACTTGAGAAGCTTTAGCAGTCTGAGAAGTTTTATTAGTCTGAGAAGCTTGAATAGCCTGAGCTGCTTGAGAAGTTTTATTAGTCTGAGAAGCTTGAATAGCCTGAGCTGCTTGAGAAGTTTTATTAGTCTGAGAAGCTTGAATAGCCTGAGCTGCTTGAGAAGTTTTATTAGTCTGAGAAGCTTGAATAGCCTGAGCTGCTTGAGGAGCTTGAGAAGCCTGAGAAGAGGGATTTGATGAAAAATTGCTGGATTGCTGGCCAATGGGATTTTGAGGCATGGAGAGGCTCGCCTCTTCTGAAAATGTGGATATAGCTTGTTGAGAAGTCGCTGGCTCTTGGGCCAAAGGGGCTGCAGATTTTTGAATCTGCTTGGAAGGATCTTGAGGCTTAAAGTTGGATGTATTTCCATTGCATGGAAACTTGGCTTTAAGCTCAACGCAGAAAGGCAATTTATCCATTCTAGTACACACCTTTCTTTTATATAAAATAGAGCTAGTCTGGTTTGCTTGGTTTGCCTGGTTTGCCTGGCTGGCTTGGTTTGCCTGGCTAGCTTGGTTTGCCTGGTTTATCTGGCTTGCCTCCTTGCCAGAATCAGCTCCAGGTGAAGCGTTAGCAATACCTGGGGCCTCGGTGGAAGAATAAGAGAAAAATAAGGCAATCATGAAAAAGAAAAGTGCAATATTATTTGATAAATTCATTCCTAGGTGTTCCGCTGCATGATTGAACCACGTATTTATAGATTCAATTGAAACACTTGAGACAGATTGTTCGAGAACCGAACCAATTTAATTATTTTTGTGCACTGCAGTTGTATCAGAAATTAAATTGAAAATTAAAAAATCACCTAAATTTTACTCGCCTTTAAAATCGGATAGGGTACAATGCATAATTTGATCCAACGATTTCAAAATGATCTCAATTCCACGATCCAATTCTGCGTGCGAAATAACCAAGGGCGGAGCGAATCGAATGATATTGTTTTGCGTTTGTTTTGCAATAAGCCCGGATTTCTTGAAAAGTAGACACAAATGCCAAGTAACTATATTTTCAGGCAGCTTTGATTCATCGATGATAACGCCATTCATCAGACCTTTTCCTCTTACTATGGCGATAAGAAATCGGTAACCAAAATACCAGCCAAAACAAGAGGATGTTTTCTGCCTTCTATGACACTCCTAAAGTGGTTTCCCAGCTCAAAGCTCTACAATCACGCAAGCAACATCGGTACTTTTTTGGCAAGATCTTCGTCTTGCAGGATCTTCAGTGCTTCGATAGCAATCGCTGAAGCAAGTGGATTGCCTCCGTATGTTGACCCATGCTCTCCCGGCTGGATACAAAGCATAATGTCTTTATTGGCCAATACCGCACTAATGGGATACATGCCTACAACGTTTTAACGATCTATGGGGTACCTCCTGATAGTGCTTTTCCCAAAATCAAAATGTCCGGTTTGAAGCCCTCATAATCACAACCAAGCATTTTCCCTGTCCTACACAAGCCGGTTTGTATTTCATCCGCAATGAAAAGCACATTGTATTTACGACAAAGATCATAGCATGACTTGAGATAGCCGTCATCGGGGACAACGATGCCTCCTTCTCCCTGAATTGGTTCGACCAGAAACCCAGCAATCAAATGTCCGTGTGACTTTAAAGCAGTTTCCAGATCTTGAAGGTTGTTGTATCGGATGGGCCCTAATATTAGAATAAGTCACGGTAACCTATTTGTTCAACTACCGGCCCAACATTTGGCAAAAATGGGCCAAAATGATCCTTACAAACAGGGTCTGAACTTATCGATACAGCGGTCATCGTTCTCCCGTGAAAGTTTCCCTCGCATGCCAGAATTATGGCTTTGTTTTGGGGAATATTTTTCTGAATTGTCACCAAAAGCAGCATTACCTTGAGATATCCCCATTTCCTGGTCAATTTTATTGCAGTCTCTACGCCTTCAGCGCCAGTATTCATTGGAAGCACCATATCGTAGCCAAAAAACTACATTTACCGATAACATAACTAACCTCCGTGATGAATTTTGCATATGGTCCAAGTTTATCATTAAAAAATGCCCTTGAAGTCAAAGTGAGCTTGCTCAATTGATTTTGTGCAGCTGCTACCAATCTCGGATGGCAATGGCCCTGATTTACTGAAGAGTAGGCAGACAAAAAGTCGAGGTACTCCACACCCTCAGTGTCCCAAACTTTTGCTCCAGAGCCTCTGGAGAGGACCACCGGAATTGGATGATAGCTACATATTAGCGTCATACTGATACTTATGGGCCGCATATCGTTGCTCAAGATCAATGATTTCAGCGGAGCCTTTCTTTGCACCATTACACATTGTGGTATAAAAAGGGCTTCCTAAATGGCTGATCTTATTGCTGATTCGGGACATGTTCCTAGTTTATAAATTGGCTACACTTTCCCATCGCATTAAAGATTTATTAAATGGTGCTAATTTTGAAAAAATGATTAAAAAATTTGTAATTAAAAGGCAGTTTTAATCTTTTATGTCTTCTTGTATTGGGAGCAAGCCGGAAAAAGATGCCAACTCCAAATGCTCTTTATTTATAAGAGGAATTCCGGCAGGTTCATCCAATGATGAGCTTCTAAATCTTTTCTCCGATATTGGGCCGTTGAGATCGTGTTTCGTTGTCAATCCCGGGAAAGAGGCTGGGGCGGAAGCAATAGCTCCTTCAAAGTTCTGTTATGGCTTTGTTCGCTTTGTGACAGAGGAAGATGCTCAGAAGGCTCTTGAGCAATTGAAAAGCACCAAATTTAAGGGCTCAAAACTGAAGCTAGAGATTGCTCTAAAGAAGCATACCGGTAGCGAAAACAAGCCGCCCAGAAAGGTTCTCACTGTGGAAAGCAAAAAGGACAGCGCTTTGGATAGCAACTCTGAACCCAAAAAAGACTCTAAACTAAAGCGTCCAAAAAAGCCACAAAAGGATAACCTAAAAAGCATCTATGTTTCCTCATTACCAAAGGATGTGGAAAAAAAGCAGCWCTTTAAAAAGTTTAGGAAATTCGGTAACATTGCGTCTTTGGAATTTCCTTTGGATGGTGACAAAACCAAATGTAATTGTGATGTTTTATTAACTTTTAGGCTTAATTGTATATTCAAGTGGGAAAGAAGTATCGTTCGCATTGCCTAAAATACACGATCATATTTTCAAAGGATCCAAGTTGAAAGCATCTTTGACCAAAGAGCAGCCACAAAAGTCACATCGACTAATCGTTCGAAACATTAGCTTTTCCACCACGAAAGAAGAGATCCTCGATAAATTCAGCGCATTTGGTGAGGTTTTCGAGGTTCAGATACCAAAAAAAGCGGATAATTCCCTGATGGGATTTTGCTTTGTTCAATACCTGAGTAAATCAAGTGCAGACGAGGCGATTTTAAAGATGAACGCCACCAAACTTAATGGGCGGAAAATTGCCATCGATTATGCAGTATCTAAGACCTTGTATGAAAAAATCAAAGATACAGATTCCGATGACACCGATGGTGTGGTTAAAACGGACATTGGTAATTCTGATCTCAGTGACGATGACAGTAACGACAAAGCTTCAGAAGCAGAAATGGATCGCTGCAACGATATTGTAGATTTTGACGATCATTCAAGCGAAATTTGTAATGAAGAGAGCTGCGAAAACGAAGTCCTTCAAACAGAGGCTGAAAATATTCCAGAAATTGCTACAAATCACCTGGAAAACCACAGCAAAACTCTTTTTGTCCGAAATTTACTTTTTGAGACCGAATCTGAAAAGGTGGCAGAGACGTTTTCCAAATTTGGAAAACTTCAGTACGTTAGGATTGTGAAAGACTTTCTTGGTCGATCAAAGGGATGTGCCTTTGTTTCCTTTGTGCATCAAGAGGACGCTTCCAAGTGCCTGGATGAATTCAGCAATTCGTCTAGACCCCCATCGTTTGTGGAAAATTCCTCTTCATCAAAAAGCTTGAAAGGTTCCAAAATTTCATTGGACCTTTACGATCAAATTGACTCTGCTTGGGTGATTGAAGGGAGGCATATAGATGTCCTTCAGGCTATTCCAAAACTTTCGGCAAAGGAAATCGCTTCCAAGACTGCGGAAGAAAAGAAAGAGGCTGATAAGAGAAACTTGTATCTGCTAAAGGAGTCTTTTGTCGATAGAGCCTCACCAGAGTGGGAGGAAATATCAGAAATGGACAAGCAGAAAAGGGTGAAAGCATACCAGGAACGTTCGCTGAAATTGAAGAACTTGAATTGCTTTGTTTCAAAAACAAGAGTGTCCATCCGAAATATGCCTGTTGGTGTGGATGAGAAACAGTTGAAAACGATCATTGGAACTTGTGTGTCAAAAGCATATCCCGAATTTAAGCCGATACCACGCTACCTGAAGCAGGTTAAAGTAATAAGGGATAAAGAGAGAAAAACATCCACTGGAGAACTCAAAAGCTTGGGTTATGCTTTCGTTGAATTTTCGGACCACAAGCATGCTCTTTCGTTAATTCGTAAAATGAACAACAAAAAGGATATCTTTACCGCACAAAAAAGGCCAATAGTCGAGTTTGCGGTGGAAAATTCCACAATCTTGGCTAGGCGACAAGGAAGAATGTCACAAACAGATATAGATGCTGCAGATGTTAAGAAGGTTAAAAGATCCAACGAGCCTAGCAAGGGCCAGGAAAGACCGCGTGCTTCCAACAAAAGGTTTAAATCAGAGGCCCCCAGCAAAGAATTCAAGCCAAGAGGCTCTGCTAAAAGATTGAACCCCAAAGACTCTAGCAAAGGATCCAGATCGAATGCCCCAAACAAAAGATTGAACCCCAAAGACTCTAGTAAAGGATCCAGATCGAATGCCCCAAACAAAAGGTTGAACCCAAAAGACTCTAGTAGGGCTTTCAAATCGAGTGCCCCAAACAAAAGGTTCAAACCAAAGGCGGAATAAATTATTTAATTGTTGGCTAGTTGATGAGAACATGTTAAATGATACAATCGAAAGCCCATGTTTACGGCTGTAGAATTTAAATTTAATTAATTTTTGGACAAAAACCAAACTTGTACACTGCTAGTCATACCTGCAATCATTTGCATTTTCTAATTTCAATGCCAACTCTGCTTGCACCCCGAGACAAGCTTTTCTCTTTAATAGGCAAAAGATTTACGGACGAAGAATTTGAAGAGCTTTGCTTTTCATTTGGAATCGAGTTGGACGACATTACGTCCGATAGGTCCATCTTTGAAAAGGAACACAGCACCAGCTCCTGCATAGCTACATTGGATGCTCTCTCTGACGAGATACTATATAGGATTGAAGTGCCAGCAAATCGCTATGATCTTCTCAGTACTGAAGGGCTATCTGTGGCGCTAAAATCATATATTAACACCACTATACCACCGCCAAGCTTCACAATTGATGATGACTCCCAATATTCTATCCAAGTGCATCCGAACGCATGCAAGGTTCGTCCTTTTATCTTTTGTGCTGTTTTGAAAAACATCACCTTCGACCCGCATTCTTATGATAGCTTTATCAAGTACCAGGATAAGTTGCATCAAACCATAGGAAGAAATCGTTCCTTGGTATCGATTGGAACCCATGACTTGGATGCTATAAAGTCTCCATTTACCTATACCGGAATGGTCCCCGAAGATATTTCTTTCATTCCACTCAACCAAGCAAATGCCATCAAAGGAAGTGATATCTTTGAATTTTATCAAACCGATCTCAAATTAAAGAAATTTCTCCCCCTGTTGCAAGACAAACCATATTTCCCACTGGTCCTTGATTCAAGGAATACGGTGTGTTCCTTACCGCCTCTTATTAATGGAGACAAATCCAAGATAACTCTTAACACGAACAATGTATTTATTGAGGTGACTTGCATGGACGCAATTAAAGGCGAAGCCACTTTACGATCAATTGCCACCGCCTTTTCCATATATTGTAAAGATAAGCTTTCTATCACGCCCGTTAGTGTTCTTTATCCGGACAACGACTCCAGTCCTTTTGGTAATTCCAGGTGGAGTTTATCTGACTATTCGCCCCTTTCTTTTGAACTTACCCTTCAAGAAGTATTCCGCAATTTGAAGGTTGATATTTCCCCACAAAAACTGATAGAGCTTCTTCAAAGGATGTTGTATTCTGTTAAGGTCGTTGAATCATCCACCTCGCAAGACTTCACAGTCAACGTTTTGGTGCCGATGAGTCGAACAGATATCCTGCATAAATGCGATGTCATTGAGGACATTGCCGTTGCTTATGGATTTGGAAATTTCCCAATGACGCTGCCATCTACAAATACCATTGCGGCTTCCACGCCTATGAACAAGTTTTCTGACATGCTTCGCATTGAAATGGCACTTTCTGGATTCACGGAGGCTCTGACGCTCACGTTATGTTCAATCGACGATCTGGTTTTGCACTTAAACAAAGACGTCTCGATTTTGCAGAAAATAGTTACAATTGGTAATCCAAAATCCATTGAAACACAAGCGCTTCGCAATACGCTCCTCCCTGGCTTATTAAAAACCCTCGCTTCAAATAAGGCTGTGCCATTGCCTATTTTATTGTTCGAAATTTCAGACGTCGTTCTCAAGACACCAGAAAATACCACCCAGCATTCTGATAATATCGGTGCGAAGAACGAGCGACGGCTTGCCGCAGTTTTTGCTGGCCAAACATCAGGCTTTGAGATCATCCACTCTGCTTTGGATAGGATCATGTCCATGCTTTCTATCCAGCGAGCATGTGGGTCGAGTCCTACTACCGGAACATATTCACTTAATAGCTCAAAGTCGGCCACCTTTATAGATGGCAGATATGCCTCCGTTTATTTTGACTCGCGGAATGTCGGGGAACTTGGGGTGCTTCATCCAAAGGTACTTGAAAATTTTGGTATTTCGCATGCTGTTTCGTTTTTTGAAATAGCGTTGGACCCCTTCGTATAGCATAAATAAATGATGGATGGTCGATAAATTTCTCGAAAACTATGGACGATTTTATTAGCATTTAAATTAACATATAATCTAAAAAGTCAAATTGCTGACGCCCGCTTGGCCTAATGGAAAGGCGCTAGCCTCCTAAGCTAGAGATTGCGGGTTCGAGTCCCGCAGTGGGTAATTTAAATGTTTTATTTATTATTACAAAAAGGCCAAATTCAAATACATCGCCACAGCAGCAACGCAACTCCATGAAAAAAAGGCTTGAAAACGAGACGAACCGCTTTTTACGGCTAGAGGATTTGTACTACTGATCCTATCATTACTCAACTCAAGTTCATAATCTGCTTTGCTTTTGCAAGCCCCGTTGTAGCACATCCCTTGCGCACTCAAGCTTGGGTTTACACATGAAATTCCATTGGGTAGGACTAGGGGTGAGGAGGGTTCAGAAAAAATAGCATATTTGATATATGGTTGGAAATGTAGCGATTTTTGGATATTGAGATCTTCACTCTTTGATGCTGCCGCAGGCAAAGAAAGGGCAAATGTGATGCATTTTTCTCGTTTAAAATGATCGTTGCCATTGTTGTTCTGGAAGAATGGCATTAAAAAGTTCGTAATTCTTTTCTTAATGAAATGGACAACCTCATACTCGCTTTGATCAGAATTAGCATGTTCTAGTGGGTATACAGATAAAGAGGAGTCATAACAATGGATTAGGCAGTCTGCATCCGGATCACACTCAGGCTTGTAGTCCATCCCCATTCTTTTGCAAATTGTTTCTCTAGAAAAACAGACGCCGGATTCGCATATGCCAGTGCTTCCCTTTTTAGATGCTGCAGTCCCACTGATACACTCAACGCCTTCTGGCTTCCATATATCTGGGCATGCTGGAGTTATCCCATCACAAAGGTCCAGCACATCGCAGGGGGTTTTTTCAAACAGTGTTGACAAGGGTCTGCAAACATCCCCCTTCTTTTTCAGAAGACAATTCTGACAGCATCGGCCATTCCTATCGTCACACTCTGAGCCTGGAGTAAGTTTACAAGTGGAAGAACAACAATCTGTGCCATTTGGAGAGCCAGAATCACATTCCTCCCCATCATCAATGATGCCATTTCCACAAAGAGAAGTTACAGGAACATTCTTAATATTCAAACACCTTGAGTCTGGATGATGTAAGAACTCTGACATGGCCTCAATAGAACAAGAAGACCATCCTATGGCCAATGGCCGTCCGGTTGAAATTGCAGATGCCTGCATGATATATCCAGATTCGGGACACCTATTTTCGAAACCATCATGAGAGGCGCCCAGGGAATGGCCTAATTCATGTGCAATAATTTGGGCCTGATACCTAAGTGAAATCAGGTGAGAAGATCCATGCTTCAAATCTACCCCAGGAGCCTTGGCAATGCTTACACTAAACCTTGATTGACACATTCCTCTAACGAAAGCAAGGCCTTCAACAGAATCGGCGCCGGAGGAAACATGTTTGTCTTGAACATCTTTTTTGACGGTAGAGACGTCCCAAACCCGTCCAGAAAGGAGCTGCAAGTGGTCAAAATCTTTAAGCCACGGAAAGTTCGACATCGAGGATTTCTTTTTAAATGAGAAAAATGACAAGAAGCTAAAGGGAGGATTCACAAATGTCCCAATCCAACTCGACATTTCGTCCAGTAAATCATGAGGACTGATGGGATCTGAAGAAAGAACGGATCTCGGGATACGATGAATCGAAGATGTGCTGTCATCATCTGTTAGGGATAAAACGGCCACTATTTGAATTCGGATGTGAAACCCTCCAAAATTTGTCAGGTCGAAAAGGGACTGCACAATGTTGTAAAGTTGAAGTGTGGAAACTTCAACATCGTCCTCGCCAAGTTGGGCCGTCCTGGCTGGATCATTGACTATGACAAGCTCGATTGTTTTTTGTTTAGATTCAGAAGTCGAGAAAGGCGAAACCGATGAAGGCGGGGAGGACTGAATATCATGCTCTGGCAATGAAAATGTGTTGTTACTTGAAAAAAGCTTTGATATATAAGTTAAATATGGCGAGAAAACGTCCATGGCTGATGATTTCTCTCGAACCAATTCGAGGTTTGAAGAGGTTTCTTTTTTAGAGCTTTGCCTGATGGAATAGGATGTACCTGTTAAGAACCGTAAACATCCGCCTTCCTAAAAAAAGAAACCAATCCTTACTATGCTTGAACTGGCTGCAAAGACGGAGGCATATCCAAGCACATCACTAGAATGGGTATTGCTTATGATTCCATTATAAAAAACGGGGGGCTTTTTCGATTTGGAGGAACTTGATGTAAATACATAGTCGGGATGAGTAATGTTAGATGGCCATAGGGTCAATCTCAAGCTTTCCCTGTCTTCGACTTTGGAGTGTAAAATCAAGTCCAAGGATCWGGTATTACCCTCTCGATCACCTGCATCTGCTCTGATATCAAAGTTAACTGCTGTAAATATAGACCGAGTAAACAACAAACAGATCCAGATGATTTTCGCCAACATGCATTATGAGCATAAAATATGAGATATATAGATATTTGGATCCTAACAACAATTAATAATCGAATTAATCAGATCATGATTGATGATGGCTGTAAAGTAAACAAAGAAATAAGAAATGGATTTGGATTTAGGTTTGGATTTGAGTTTGGATTTGGGGTTGGGTTTGGGTTTGGGTTTAGGTTTGGATGTTATTTAAATTAAATTTTACAATGCGACATAGATGTGCATATAGGAAACTTGGTAGGGATACCGCCGGTCGCCGTCAGCTTTTTCAAAACCAAATAACCTCGCTCATATTAAATGGCAGGATCATCAGTACACTTCCAAAAGTCAAAGAGTTGCGTCGAGTTGTTGAACGAACCATCACAAAAGCCAAGAATGGCTCGCAACAAGGTTTACTCAAGCTTTCAAGCTTCCTAAAGGTATGGCCAACCATTTTATTTTTGTTGTAGAAGGAGGACGTGCTAACAACTCTTTATGGCACCCTAGTCAACCGATATCGCAATCGGACGGGTGGCTTCACGCGTGTGATGAGAATTGGCTATCGTGAGAGGGACAAAGCCCCATTGGGCTTGATTGAATTGGTGGATTCTCCCTTTGAATATAAAAAGGCCCTGTCTCTCTTTGAAAAGTTGAAAGGAGAAAGAGACGAGCCGTTTTGCTATCATCCTCCTATTTCCCAATTAAGCAATACGAAAAGAGCAAAGATGGCACAAAGAGGGCTTTTACCAAAAACTCACAATTGCTACGATTACCCTCCTGTAGCCAGGCAATATCTGATCAACCATTTGCACCTTTATGATGAAAGCCTTGTCGAGATGAAGAAGAAAAGAGAAGCTTATTTTGAGGGAAAGCTTCTTGAAATTTATCGGCGCGAACGGCAGCCTAAATACAGACCCGGATGGAGCCTTCCGCTAGATAGGCCATCTTTTTTGGAGTCTGTCCTTACATTGACCCCCGCTTTGGTATCCAAAGTGAGGCCGAAAATGAACAATTGAATCCACTTTTTATTGTTATCTATAAAACCTTGGTTAATAGATTTAACATCTTGCGGTTTCCCCTTGTGATCGAAACGTAAATACTGATATAAGAGCCTGGCCGGCCCTTTATGGAGGCATGAATAACAAACTCACGGGGACAAATCTGAACAGATTCGAGTTCACACGATGGCCGTTCATAGGAAGTGCGCGGAGAAACACCACTTGACATGACAAGGGGTTGCGAAATGTATAATCGCATTTTGCCATCCGGGTTTCGCTTAACGAAAAAGAAATTACTGTCTTTGATTACCGAACAATCCATGTCCAATGAAATATTCCGGATCCGATCGAAATATAGCGCAGAGCCCGGTATTCTAAAAAAGGACTGTAAAAAGAAAACATTCTCAACATCGGCACTGGGGATTTTGTAAACATAGTCTTTGCCCATTAGCAGTTTGAGATTGTTTTTTCCGTCAATGATGATGATTGGATTGCAGATAAAAAACACCGAGTTATTTGAGTAAAACACTCCAGAAGCGATGTCGAACAAAATGTGCTCAACTGAGTTGCAATTGCACTTTTTGTTTGGATTTGCTGTCCTTGAGGCCTTTGTCAGAGATACAATGTTTTGGATCATATTTAACAGTTTTTCAGCGGAGACGATCTTTGCATGATCCGAATTTTTGTTAATGATGACCCTGTAAGATTCGGGACAGCTTTGGGCCTCCAAGTAAAAGGAGATGTCAAGAATCCCAAATCCAGCGTAAGCAATTTGGATTGCATTTGGGCACACTTTTACGCCATAGTTTCCGTATGTATTGTTGAGAGATATGAGCTCGCACAGAATTTTGGAAGAAACTCCGCAACTAGTTGCCCACGAATCAAGGCTAGGACATGTGCTCTGTGTTGGATTACCATCGGTAAGATTGCCAAGTTTTGTGCGAAGATATTCCCAAATAGAATCGTCGACAAACTTGTGGATAGAATCGTCGACAAACTTGTGGATTGAATCGTACGTATGGCTGTCGGTGAAAATTTTTGCCATGCAATCAGTGACATTGGCATTCTTATTTACAGAAGAAAGCAACGGATCGTTTGGCGACAGATTGGACATGCCATTTGCATAGACTAAAGACTGTGGCTCTGGATTCTGACAAGCATTTGCAACCAAAAGATATGAATAATATACATACAATACCAAGAATAATTTGTACATCTGATGAAGCGCAAAACAGGGGACATTTCTAAGTCAATTGTGCTCCCTCTAGCTGATTGGTATGTTGAAAATCGAATTGAATTTTTTTTCAGGTTTAAAATAAATTTAATTGGGACCCATCAACATGGTGACATGCAAAGTAATTGAAGTGAAAATTAAATACAACAATCTCAAATTGCGTTCAACTCAAAAAGATGCGATATCGGGCTCTCCATTTGTGGCCATTTGTGCAGTTACCTCTGCAAGCTCCCTCAAGAGCAAATAGCTTCAATTTCGCATGAGCATTTCTACTGCCGACAATTTCTGTTGGAGAGATTGTCTATGCGAACAATATCGACATGCAATTTCGATTGAAAAGTTTTTAAAAGAAAATTGGTCGATCGAACACGGCACATATTAATTGCACTAAAATGGGATTAAAAAGGTCTTACCAAAGCGACATGCTGCATTGTGACAAGTGCGCAATCAAACGATACCATTCGCTGTAACCGTAGCCCCAACAGGTCGAGTGTTCTTTATGCCCCGGCAAAATAAATTTTAACTTTGCACTCAATGCTTACCAATGTTTCTGTTTTAACCCGCGAACAGCTGGATAGGATTGAAGAAAATCGGATACTTGCTCTCAAAAAGCTTCAGTCCAAAAAGCAGCAAAAGGAAGGCACAATCGAGCATGCGCAAAGCGAGAATAAGGATATTGCAAAAAAGCCGCTTTCCCTTGCCATCGGCCCCAATTTGCTTTCTTCTGTCGTCAACTCAAACAAGCTCTCTTTGCCTGGGAATCGCAATATCGCTGTCTTCGACACTAGTTTTGACCACAGTCCCCCAAATGCGGGTCCAAATTGCGTTTCCTCTGCCATTTCCACCAATGATCATGCTCAGCAGCGGCCACATGTGAAACGGTATACCGGAAATGTGCACTTTGAGTTATTTTCGAAGACCTCTTTTTCCGTTAGTGACATTTCGATTTTTAGCTCGATTTTCAAGTCCATTCCAGCATTTAAGTACGATAACGAAGAAAAAAAATGGCTCTTTCCCTTGCACGAATATGCTAACTTGGTTACTTTAATGAAGGAATTTGAGCCAAACGCTACATACCATTTGATTCCAAATTCGATTTTGTCCTTATTTTCTGCGCTCACAACTGAAGAGCAAAAAATCACCCCAAGCACACATGGGAAGCTTTCGTTTGATTTGTCTCTTCTTGACGAGCCATTAAAAAATTCGCTTTTGCCATTTCAGCTTGCCGGATTAGAGTATGAATAGCCATTTTATTGTACCCATCCAGATTTGCTCTAAAAAAGCAGGGAAGAGTCTTGCTTGCAGACGAAATGGGGCTTGGAAAGACCGTTCAGGCCCTTGCTATTGCTTCGTTTTACCGAAGAGAATGGCCTTTGCTAATTTTGGTACCGGCATCATTAACAGCTTCATGGGGCGAGGTCTGAGCTGCTTAACTTTATCGCTAGTCTGTTGAAAGGTGGTGTCCCTCAATCTCTCGTTCAAATGTTTTTCCCATTTATTCTGGGAAGGACCCTTTCCCGGCAGCCGGTACATATTTATTTGATTCCTTTATATTTTAGGGCTGGTGTACATAGTCAGCTATGACTTGGCCGGAAAATATATCGATTCTATCAAAAAGAAGGAGTTTAAGGTTATCATCACGGTATCTTTACGTCGACAATAATGAACATAGGATGAGTGCCACTTTCTACGAAACCCCTCAACAAAAAGAACCAAGCTTCTGTTGCCATTATTGAAGGTTACTTTTTAATCGGTGATGTTTCCATTAGAAGTCTGGACGTGTTATCCTCCTTTCAGGCACACCTGCTCTTTCGAGGCCGATGGAGCTCTTCACGCAGTTGCAAGCAATCAATTCAAAGCTATTTCCAAATATGATTGAATATGGCATCCGCTATTGCGCGGGGAGGAAGGTAGCTTTGCGCTGTTTTTATTTGTAAGGGGTATTTTGGATGGGATTTCAAGGGATCCTCGCATCTGAGGGAGCTTTCAATAGTGCTGGAAAATACTATCATGATAAGAAGAATGAAGAAGGATGTGTTGACCCAGCTTCCAGCAAAAAGACGACAGCAAGTCTTTTTGCATATAGAGGCCTCAAAATTAAAGGCAATAAATGCGATGATTGCTTCAATTGACGGGGCGGCTTGTTGTTCCAATTCGCAAGCAGACGAGCTTGAGGCTTTTCAATCAAATTTACTTTATATGAAGATATGGAGAGAAACGGGACTCGCAAAATTGGATGCCTGTTGTGAGTATCTGTTTGATCTGCTCGATCGCGACGAATCGATCAAGATCCTCCTTTTTGCTCACCATCAGCAAATTCTGGATGGTGTTGAAAAGTTCCTTTGGGAAAAGGTATCAAATCCGCTTGTTGCTGACATTCAGAAAGTCTCTTTTATCCGAATCGATGGCATGACGCCCACCATCGAACGCAACAACCATTGCATCGAGTTTCAAGACCCCCTGTCGAAAACTCGTGTGGCCATCCTTAGTTTGACGGCTGCCGGTGTTGGATTGACACTAACGGCAGCCTCTGTGGTGCTGTTTGCCGAATTGTTCTGGAACCCCGGGGTATTTTATGGCTTCTTTTCCTAGGTGCTGACTCAAGCCGAAGACAGGGCACATCGTATAGGGCAGAAGGACTCTGTAAATATACATTACTTGCTCGCACAGGGGACGAGCGATGATCGCCTTTGGTATGTGATTTTAGAAGTGGTGGCTCATCATTTAGGCCACTTATCCTGAGAAAGCTGAACATTCTCGAATCGGTTGGACTTGGAAAAAACGAGTTTTCCAGCATCGTTTCAAATGCTTCCACACAGCAGCCCCTGTCGCAATCCCAGCCACAGTCACAATCGAATACGCAAAAAACCCTTTACAGCTATGCCAAAAGCTGTCAATGATCTTGTAGTTTATTGATTACAAGGAGGAAGAGGCGGCCATCTTCAAAGATCTGTCCAGAATGCTTTGAAGCGACATCCACACGGATGCGGGCGATTGTGTAGCATCAACGACGGACAGCAGATTCTTGTTCTTGTAATAGAGCGCAATTGGTGCCGTTTGTTTGCGGTAAATTTCGATTCTCCTCTTCAACGCATCTACGTTGTCATCGGGTCTTCTGACAAGTGGCTCTCCAGTCATCTACGCAATATTAAACAACAAACCCACATCGTCTGTCATGGGTGATTTTGGCGGGTTAAATTCTTCATGGTATGTACGCCCAGAAGCGGGGTGTAAAAGCCTTCCTGTGATGCGCTTCTCAAGCACGCTATCGGGGATGGTAAATTCGACGACACGATCCAGCTGCTGACCGGCCTGTTTCAACATCACATCCAGCTATCAGGTTAATAACTGCCAAATAAAAACAAAAGCAAAAATGATGGGTTAAAAAAACCTTTTCTGCTTGCGGAGTGGTTCGTGGAAAGCCATCCAAAAGGAAGCCGTTTTTGCACTGAGGCCGATTAATTGCATCCTTGATCATATCAACCATAATTTCATCCGAGACAAGATTTCCAGACTCAATCACAGCCTTTGCTCGCTTTCCAATCTCCGAGCCCTCGCTAATAGCAGCACGAAGCATATCACCAGTGGAAAGGTGACATATACAATACTTTTCGGCTACATTGACCGATTGGGTGCCCTTTCCCGCGGCTGGCGGTCCCAAAAAGATCACTCGAAATGATTGCAAAATTTTGGAAGAGGCAGTTTCCCCAGAAGTGGAGATGGGATTGGTGGTGCTGGTGGTGGTGGTGGTCCGATCCTCCTTGCTTTTTGAGAAAAAATTGAACATCGTATCGGTGTTGGAAGAAAAGAAAATGTAGCAAATATTGCAATTGACCACGATTAAAATTTACACTTAATCAATTCAATTTTAATGGGAAGATTTACAAATCCAATAAAATACGAGTTTGCCCGTCAATTGGCATGCGTAAAAGCCTATTGCGAAATACCCGCTGTTCAATATAAAAACTTACTCCGCCTAATCGGTACTAGATGAAATATACGCTACCTATTTTGCTCATTACTGCTAGCTTATCCACGAACACTTTCGCTAAGACCTGCCAAAGAAACGAAAATGTGTACTTTGTAGAACCGAAGCGAGGCTCTAGTCAAAACGAGTGGCAAAAAAATCCAAGTGATTTGAATGGACCAAATCATTTACAAAATTTCGAAACTGCGTGTAAAGTAAATTATGAGGCCAAGGAATTTCCTGTATCTTTAACTCCATCTGCAACTACGTTTCCGGGTACCGTGAACACATGTTCACCAAACTATTCAATGGGCGATCAATATAATAGCAAAGAATCAGATATTATCAACTTTTTGACCAACGAGGTTRAAAAGAACAAAAAGGTTATCGAAGACCTTAACTTTCAATTGAAAACCAAAAACTTGAAACATCAGGCGCCTACAGAAAGCACAGAAAAATGTGTTGCATCCAGTCAGAAAGACCACGTCACTTGTAACGTATCAGATGGTCCATCAGGATACAACGATCAGTTCTATCCGGCAAACAAAAAATGTGTTGCATCCAGTCAGAAAGACTTCGTCACTTGTAACGTATCAGAGGGTCCATCAGGATACACCGGTCAGTTCTATCCGACAAACATTCCGCCATGTTTTGTTCAGCCTGAACAAGAACCCCTTTACCAAGGATCTCAAGATGATCTTTACGGAGGCGCTCAAAGTGCATGCGAACAAACATGTAAACCCGACATCGCAGAGAAAGACAACCCTGAAAATTCTATGGTTTTTATATATACCGAGATCCCTCCCCATAGTCTTGCTCATTTTAAAGCTGGTTCAGCTACACCTTGTAATGCAATTATATTTAAATTGGATTCAAAAGAGATAATAAAAAACAACCAGGGGGTTTTAGGAGAGAATAGTAGGTCTAGGATAGACCCATGTATGTTGAAAAAAGTTGGGTGAGCATAGCTACCCGGTAAAACTTTCTCCCTGGAAGAAAATCCGGGCAGAATGGGGAGACCTCATGCAGCAATGGTTAATAAATTTACAAAGCTTAGGAGAGCCACAATATCGAATTCCAATTTTCTGCGCACCCGAATGTGTTGTACAGATTTGGTTTATCAGCGCAGGGAAGTCTGGGCGACCATAAGAAGTGGGTGTGATTAGACCAGAAATTGGGTCTCTCCCCACCTTTTGTTCCCCAAAACCAGAAGTTGGGGATTTAAGCTTTAAAGCCTGTGAAGAAGAAAGAACGCTTGAGTGCGGCGGCGGTGCACTCTCGCCCCCAAGATGCACAACATACCAAATGGCATCTGGTGGAAGTATCCCTAAGGATCAGAAGAAAGGAATACCGGTAAAAAACAGCATGATGTTAAATATCTTTTCTTTATCGGACTCCTCAAGAGTCCTCAGGATCTCATAAAACCAAGAGAAAGCCTAGGATGCAAATAAAGTCTTGATGGATACCTGTACTTCACGAGCAATGCCTACATAGTATATCTTTCGAAGGCGACAAACTTTCCCTAAAATACATTATAAAGTGCCTATACCGGCAATCGAGGGATTAGTAACCGGGTGACGATACCAAATGGACTTTAGGAGAGAAGCAAAAGGAGTCTGGCCAATTCCAGCACCRATGCAAACCAAAATTTCAAACGAAAAGGCTTTTTGGATAGAATTGCCATACGGGCCATCTAAATGAAAGGCTGGCCACTTGATTTTATTCGGCGGTGGCATAAGAAGTATCCTGCTAGAGATATTCCCACCAATCGAAAACGTGGCAAAAGGCGAACCTACAAAGGAGGCCGTGCCGTTTTCTTGAAAGTAAGAGCAACTGGTATCCTTATGAGTATTTCTCTCAAAAAGGGTACGCAGAGAAAAAGTCCAATCACCCAAAGAGCGAATGTGTACACTAACGAACTGTTCCTCCGGAGCACTTGTCAACGTAAACGGGTGCGATTGAAAGCGGGACAGAGAATCACATGTCAGCAGTATGTACTGGCCGTGCTTATACGTTGGAAGGACAGCCTTTTGCCACCTCAATTCGACAACATCTCCAGGATGCAAGATCACCGAGCTCGGAGAGTATGCCCGCCAGGATTTAGCCAACCGAAAGAGCCAGTCAACCAAATAGATACCCAAAAAGGGGACAAACCACAGCCAGTCTGTGGATGTCGGACACACCGGATGTAGTTGATCTACAAGGAAGAAACAAAACGATCCATGGATCCCTATCAAATATAAAAGGCAAAATGGGAAAAACGAAGCATTTTTGTGCATGGCGCAAAAACTTACCAAGAGCAACGTAATAGAGCGGAAAAACAATGCGATGCACCCACCAGAAAGATTCATAATTTTTAATTGAGTAGGAAAAAATAAACAAAGTAACCAAGAGTGATACAAGAAACAATCCAGAAATACCAGCTACGCTACCGAATAAAGCCATCAAAACGGTAAAAAAAGATGAAGTGATGGTGGGGGAGTTGATTTTAGGCAGGTTCGTCGTGGCCAGATGAAAAGCAGAGTAAAAGAAGTTAACAAGATGGCCAAGTGAATGAACAATAGACCAAAAAATTATGGACAAAGAGATGAGTCGGTGAATGGCGATCCGATACCCGAACAATCCCCATGGGGATATGCTCAATAGCTGCAAAGATGCAGGGAGCAAGACCAATCCCGAGTCGATGGCTATAGGGAGGGACGAGCCCCTAGCGATGGCCAGGCTGAGCGCGCCAAATACCAGCCGCGAACTAGAATAAAGGCTGTCTGTCAGTGTAGATATGGCTCGGAACAAAAAGATTGCCATTTGAAAGATGACCCATGCTCCAATAAGAAATGTCCTGCTGCTGAAAAAGGAACAAGCCGACTTGGTTAGCATTGATAGGCATCGCGATGAGGCTTTCTGGTGGCCTGGCGATGATAAATTTGGAGAAAAAGTTTTGGATGGCACCGTAGAAAAAGACAATGCTTGGTCTGTTGAGGGAGAAGAAAATGTTCGGTCTGTTGAGGGAGAAGACAATGCTTGGTTCGTTAAACAAGAAGAAAATTCTTGGTCCGTTAAACAAGAAGAAAATGCTTGGTCCGTTAAACAAGAAGAAAATGCTTGGTCCGTTAAACAAGAAGAAAATGCTTGGTCCGTTGAAGAAGCCATGGTGCGGTACCCAGAGAAATATTAATCGCTACAACACACTGAGCTTGAATGCGTACGAATGATCACGATCAGTCGGTAGATTTCCTATTTTGGAATTTATTGCAAATTGGCCTATGAGGCCTTCATTTTTGGTTCTGGGGGAAGCAGGATATTTGCAAGAAGATATCCTTCGATCAGCACAAGAATCGCCGTTGCCAAAATGGCAACGATGAGCGAATATTCCACCCTCAACTGGAACAAATTCAAAGCAATATATCCGCACGCAAAAAACGTACCCACGGCGGTAAACAGAACATGCACCAATGACATCAGCTGTCGCTTATGTGCGGCCTTGTCCTCTGCAATGGCTGCGGCTGCTTGGGCGGCGGAGCGGCGTACCATGGCCTAAAAATATACTTTCTGCACGTTAAGGAGTTGACAAGTTGTGCTAGCAACAAGTTCACAATTAATTTGGGCACAGTAAACCGGATTTCCAAGCTCCACATAACGTTGTGCGAAAAAACGATCGTCATTTATTCTTTTCGGGAGCAAATGGAGGGCATTGCGAGCGGCAATTACGCGAAACAACGGTGTGTATTTATTTCGGTCTATACAGAGCTAATAGCTTGTCAGCAAGCTATTCAAAAAGGACAGGAAAATGAGCACGAAAATAGGCACTAACTGTGCAAAGATCTGTCCAGCGGTGAGCGGCTCTTGCGGATGGGTGGGCACTTGCCTTCCTGGAGTGGAAAACCTAAAGTTTCGCCTTCGAGGAAAGGACGAAAATCCGCCGCCCTGGAAAGAGCTGGTTGAGAAAAATACATCGCCCTGAGCGCATGCAAACTCGCGGAAAAATGCCCTGAAAATCTCTTCTGGATCGACAAAAGATGCTTCGCTGCAATGCGGGCCCGGATGACATGATGGCTCTGCTCCAAACGTGTCATACGCCTTTCTTTTTTCCGGATTTCCGATGACCGAAAACGCCCGTCCAACCATTTTAAACGCCTCGTCCGCTCCTGGAGCTGCATTCTTATCGGGATGAAATGCAAGGGCCTGCTTTTTATACGCTTTTTTGACCTGGTCATCGGAGGCTGAACAGGGAACGTCCAGTATTCCGTAATAGTCTGTAGGCTCTTTCCGCAACATTTGTTCGACAAGCTCTGCATCCACTGTAGATGTCTTCGAGGTAGAGCTTTTCGCAGAATCGCACGTTGAAGATTCTCTCGATCGGTCCTGCTGAGAAAATGATGCGCCTGGTGCCTTTAAAGGGGACGAACCTGTGGGAGGCTTTACTCCATTCATAAATTTTAAAACCCAAAATTTAAAATAATCGTACAATCGCAAATCACAAGCAAACCTTGCAACTTTAGCATCCTATTTTATCTGTCTGTCAGCTTTACGTTGTGGGAGACTCTTCATTGTTTAATTCGAGAGATTCAAGCCAGGCTTGTCGCATTTTGGAACCCTAATATTAACACCTATACCAATTAAGAAAAACTTATAAAGCTGCTCTTTACCATGAATCAAGAAAATCAACCAAGCGCCCCCATGCATGCTTCTGAGGACACCAAAGCTATGATTCCAGAAATTATGATGATGCCCAGTGCCGCGCCAACAACATACCCTGCTGGCAGCAGCAGCCAGGGACCAGCTCCAAGCATTTTCCCAGCTGCATCCATCCCCACAGCTTCACTCTATGTCGGTGAGCTTTCTCCCGACGTCAACGAGAGCATGCTCTTTGAGCTGTTCAGCCAGATCGGTCCAGTAGCATCCATTCGTGTTTGCAGAGACGCGGTCACACGTCGCTCTCTTGGTTATGCCTATGTCAACTTCCACTCGATGCTGGATGGCGAGCGTGCTCTAGACACCCTCAATTACACGTCCATCAAAGGTCAACCATGCCGCATCATGTGGAGTCAGCGAGACCCTTCCCTGCGCCGCTCAGGTCAGGGAAACATCTTCATCAAAGACTTGGAGAAATCCATCGACAATAAGGCACTCCATGACACCTTTTCCGCGTTCGGAAATATCCTCTCCTGCAAAGTGGTCACAGATGAAAATAGCGAGTCAAAAGGCTACGGATTTGTGCACTTTGAGACACAAGARGCCGCAGACCTTGCTATTGAAAAGGTCAATGGCATGTTGCTGAATGATAAGAAAGTCTACGTTGGCCGCCATATTTCGCGCCGCGAGCGCATCTCCAAAAAGGAAGAATCCAAAGCACGCTTTACGAATGTATATGTCAAGAACCTTGACGCTTCCGTTAGCGATGCAGAGCTTCGGGCTCTCTTTGCGCCGTTTGGAGAGATCACCTCTGCGGTAGTGCAACGCGATGAGATTTCTGGGCTCTCAAAGGGCTTTGGCTTTATTAATTTTGCTGAACATCACGCTGCATTGTCAGCTGTCGCTGAAATTAATGGTCGAGTTGTCAAAGAAAAGCCGCTGTACGTATGTCGCGCTCAGAGTAAAGCTGAGCGTGCCGAAGAGCTTCGTCGCCAATTCGAAGCATTCCGTCAAGAACGGTTGGCCAAATTCCAAGGTGTCAACCTGTATGTTAAAAATTTGGAGGAGACTGTCGATGATGCAGCGCTCCGTGAAGAATTTGCGGTTTTTGGTACAATTGTCTCTTGCAAGGTAATGCGTGACGAAAAGGAGCTCTCTAAAGGATTTGGCTTTGTCTGCTACACTGCTCCTGAAGAGGCTATCAAAGCCCAAGCTGAGATGAATGGAAAGCTAATTGCAGGCAAGCCGATTTTTGTGGCAATGGCTCAACGTAAAGAAGAGCGAAGAATGGCTCTTGAAAACCAATTTTCCCAGCGTCTCGGATATATGCGAGCTGGAATGGTAGGTTTACCAGCCTCAGGTGCAGTCCAGACTGCTCCGCATGGCGGAATGATTCCCGGACTCTTTTATCATCACCCCCATCCTCAGCATCCAGCTATGATGCCAGTGCCGCAGAGAATCCCTTACCACCCGATACCACAGCAAGTACTCTATTCGTCAGCTTCTCGTCGTTTTAATGGTGGCAGGTCTACTGCCTCTTCCACAGGTATGAGAACTACAATGGGAAGCTCAACCTCGCCTTTGCAACAAGGAGGAGCCCCTTCAGAGGCCATTCCACGCCGTGCTTACAATCCGCGTCAGAAACCATCCAGTCAAGGTCAAGGTCAACAAGGTCAAGGTTCATCGCCCACCGTCTTCTCTAACCCTAAGAAGAACTTTTCTTCATCACCTAGGAGCTCTAACATTAGAGGCTCCGGAGGCCGTAACATGGGAAGATATACCGCCCATCCTGAATATCCATCTCAGTTCAACAACTCTGGAAATGCCTCTGTTCTAATCCAGGCATTGGCTTCAGCTTCTCCAGAGACCCAGAAGTCTATGATCGGAGAGCTACTCTATCCGATTATCGAGTCATATGAACCAAAAAACGCAGCAAAGGTGACCGGTATGCTTCTTGATATGGACACTTCTGATCTTCTTCATATGTTGGAATCGCCGGATTTGCTCTCTTCGAAGGTAACCCAGGCTATCCAGCTGCTCCATGAGGCCAACAGAGAATAAGAGCGCTGTGGTTGGTTTAGTCGATTTGAATAAAGAGCACGAATACCAACTTCCTTAATTCTAGCATAGCTAGCTTGGTTAGTTGCTACACAACCATTTATGGCCTTGAGATGGAATATCTAATCATCACAGGCCTATTTAAATTCAACTTAATCCGCTGGATGAGGTAAAAATTTACACTTCAAAGTCCATATAGTAATTTATTTAATTCCAAAAGACTGATTTGTACTATTATTTTTTGTCGCAAACAAGCGTAAACTTTGAGGGCGGGCGTTGTTCATAACAATTTTCGTGACTAGAGAAAGCAATTAGGGCTTCAGTTGTCTCGTTTACATGTGTAAACATGCCAGTGGGGATGAAAGGCGGCGGAACATATCGTTTTTCTGCGCAAAGGCTACAAATTTCACTAGAATCGCTCAGAGATATTGATCCATCTATCTGTTTGCCTGATGTTTTACCGTTTCCTTGCCTAGAATTATAACATTTAGTTCCTTTCGAAAAATTGCCATTTGAATCTTGATTAGGAGTTTGAAAATAGTTCGGTGTGACCTTACCCCCATTATTATTACCATTTGTGGGAATAGTGTTAATGGGTGAGTTAAAAAATTGCAAACACCCTGGATTGTTTGTACCATCCTGCGGTTTTATTCCCAAGGTTTCTTTGTTTAACTCTGGTTTCATTTGAAAACTGTTATCATTACAAGCAGACACAAATCCAGTCTGGAGATTATTTTGAGATCTAGGATTTTTACCCGTTCCATAAGGATARTATGAATTGTAGGTGTCTTTGTCTCCAAAATCGACTTTACCTTCGAATTTAGATGACTCGCAGGCATCTTTGTAACGTTCGATAACAATACCAGTATCTATAGGAGATTTTTTTGTAAATTGCTTATCAGTGTTAGATACAATATTTTCTAATTTAGGATGACAGAGAGGAGTATTGTCGGTGTTGTTATTAACATATTCCACTTCTTGACTATAAGGGGGAAAACTGCTTGTATCAGTATTGCTTTGCTTGCATGTATTACAACCGTTTCCGGATACACCACCATTATTATAAGGATAACGATTAGGATTAGGATTAGGATTAAGATTTAGTTGATTGTAGGGTTCTCCTTTGTTGTAAAAATCTTGAACACAATCAGATTTAGCAGGGTAAGGTGCATATTTTTGGGGAATACAAGGGTTGGCCATTACATTTGTAAACATAGCCGAGAGAGAAACTGCGGCAATAATGCCAATCTTTTTCTTCTGTAGATTCAATCTCATGCTTCTGGAAATTGAAGAATAGCCGAAATAAATAAGCTCATATATATAAAATATCTCTTTTATCAATGGACAATATGCTAGCCATACATATGGAGACGCTACCTTCTGATAATCCAATTGTTAATTTCGCCAAATTTATTTGACTAGGAACGAACCAATTATGAGCACATGAAAATATTAAATTGTTAAACTTTAAACATACAATGTGGGGCATCTGAATTAAACACACGCTTTGAAGTGCGTATCATAAGTGAGTATGTGATTACATTTTGCAACGAAAAATAATGTATGTATGTTCAAGAGAGGCAGCATTAAAATGCTCAATATGGATCATAAAAAAAGGGGATTTATAAAAATCTTGATCAATAAATCGTTCCAATCGATAGGCTATAGCGAGGCTAGAATCCCAGAGCCAAAAAGGGTGCTTGCCAATACTGCATACCCAGTGGTGTAGACACTGCTCAAAGAGAGGCAATAACCCATATCCCAAACCTAAAATGTAAAAAATAAAAATTTCATCCTACCAAATGTCGAATTCCGTTACTAAAGTGAAATGTATATGGAAGAGCAAGAATAAATTTTGAAGCGACTATAGCCGATGATGGTACATTGATTCTGATCCAATTTGCAGTTTTTGAAACATCAACAACAGATACAGCAGAGAAAACACCAAGCGCATATACGAGAGAGCCCAATGCGACCCCGGTCGCTCTATGTCCAATTGAAAGTACAGATGTTAACGGGAAACTATATATGGTTATATGGGGAGACAGTGGTCGCTTGATGGAGAAGGGTATTTTGACATTGTTTCTTATGATGTTGCCTTTGAGGAGTGATAGTAATACTTGGCCCTTGGGAAACTGTCCTGCAATAACCATATGTTGCAAATGACTTTAAATTGAAATTTAAATGATTTGTCACCTAAACGAGTTTGTATCAATCTTATTGGGGGTTAATTTTACGAATGAACACGTAGTTTCCCTCCCTATATTAGGAGCCTTAGTACGCTAAGCTTCACAGAGGCATCGATGCAAAGTATTATTTTGAAAGTATTCTGTTCAGTATTAATTCTTTCCTTATGTCCTTGCAGAAAGGCCGTTCCAGCTCCGAATTGTGTTGGGAGCTATCCGAAGAATCGTGGCGATATTCTTTCAGCCTGTAATGCCAGTTTGAAGCCTTTTAGAAGCACTGAAGATCAAACCCTACCCTATGAACCATGCGGTTCGAGTTTTACCCCCGAAAATCCAAATTCATCGAAAAATCAAACTTCGACATGTGGCCCTACTAATATCGTTACTGAACAAAATACTTTAA